TGTTCAAAATGTTCCTTCTCTTCCCACTATGATTACCTTATAAATGATGGCTGCTTTCTTAAATACTGGGTATATAATAGATCCTCCATTCACTCCCTATTCACTTATGCAGTGCCCCAGCCACTGTGCAAAAACCTCTGATGCAAAGAAAACTCAGACCCCCTTCCTAGGCAGCTAAAACAGACACATGTGCACACGTGCACACACACACACACACACACACACACACACACACACACACCAATTCTTTCTGTCTTGGTGGGATAAGGATCAGTGAATATTAGCAGCTGAAGAATGTCACGAGGGGGCAGCAGTGAGATAGAAAGCTGTGACCTAGAGGCAGGACATACATTTTTCTGTAGTTCTCATAATTGAGGACAAGCACACCATGATGTCATGCAAAGACCAGGTTCTGTGCTCCAGAACATCCACAAACCACTGAGCTTAAAATTGGTCTATATGAGTATTATTGACATTTAGATAAATCATAGTGTGTCCTATATGCATTTCTCATTGTCTTGGGAATTTATGTATTCACTAGATTCATGCACCAGTGGGGTCCCTCGGCCAGGCCTGCAGAGAGCAGGCCGAAACCAGCTCTCTGACATCCCCCGAGAAGTACCAGATTGCAACAGGGCACAGGCCAAGCCAAGGGACTCCACCGGTACACAATCAGGGCCAGGGAGGGCCTATGGAGGGCTTCAGGACATGTCTAGCCCGTCTCACCCAGCCTCTATCAGTGGGACCCCAGCAGCAAACTAACCTACCAGTCAGAGCATCTGCCCCCTGGTGGTCAGTTTGTGTCATAGCTATCAATGGAATGGTAGAATGGTCACTCAGGATTTTATATATATATAATATAATATATATATATATATATATATATATAATATATTATGAGAGAGAGAGAGAGAGAGAGAGAGAGAGAGAGAGAGAGAGAGAGAGAGAGAGAGACTAGTGGCCTGGGGCACGAAATTCATGCATGAGAGGGTGTGGTGTCCCTCAGGCCAGCCTGCACCTGCTCCAATCTGGGACCCCTCAGGGGATGTCCAACGGCCAGTATAGGCCCGATCCCTATGGCAGTCAGACATTTCTCTGGCAATCGGGACTACTGACTCCTAACTGCTGCCCTGCCTGCCTATCTGATTGCTCCTAACTACTCTGCCTGCTGGCCTGCTCTCCCCCAACAGCACCCCTGCCAGCCTGCTCGACTCAAACTGCCCTCCACTGCTGGACTCATGGCACCCAAATGCAATCCCCTGCCAGCTTCATGGCCTCCAACTGCCCCCCCCCTGCAGGCCTCATGGCTTCCAACTGTTACCCTGCTGGCCTGCTCACCACCAACATCCCCTCGTGTTGGCCTGCTCACTCCCAACTACCCCTATGCCAGCCTGATTGCCCCCAATTGCACTCCCCTGCCAGGCTGCTCGCCCCCAACTGCCTCCCCTGAAGGCCTCATGGCCCCCAACGGCCCTCCTGGGCCAGCCTCAGGACCCCCAATGGCCCTCCCCTACACACCCCATGGCCTCCAGCTGCCCTCCCCTGCTGACCTCATGCCCCCAACTGCCCTCCCTTGCCAGCCTGTTCGACCCCAACTGCTCCCCTGCTGGCCTGATCACTACTACCTGCCCACCCCCTGCCAGCCTGCTCGCCCTCACCAGCCCTCCCTGCCACCCAGATCGCCCCCAATTACCCTTCCTGTAGCCTACTCACCCCCAATTGACACCCCTGCTGGCCTGCTCACCCTCAATTGCCCCCCCCTGCCAGCCAGCTTGCTACCAACTGCCCCCTTGCTGGCCTGCTCACCCCCAACTGCCCCCAATGCCAGCCTGATTACCCCAACTGCCCTCCCGTCCCAGGCAGCTTGCCATCATCTACCCTCCCCTGCCAGCTTCATGGTCCCCAAATGGCCCCCTGCCAGCTTCATGGCCTCCAACTGCCCTCACCTGCCAACCAACACACCCCCAACTATTACCCCCCCAGCCGGCCTGTTCAACCCCAACTGCCCTCCTGCCAGCCTGCTCATCCCCAAGTGCCGTCACCTGCCAGACAGCTCTCCCCCAACTGTCCCCCCCCCCAGCTGGCCTGTTCGCCCCTAAATGCCCGCCTGCTGGCCTGCTCACCCCCAACCGACACCCTGCTGGCCTGCTTACCCTCAACTTCCCCCCCCCTGCCAGCCAGCTCACCCTCAACTGCCCCCCTGCTGGCCTTCTCACCCCAACTGAGCCGATGCCAGACTGATGACTTGCAACTGCCCTCCCCTGCCAGGCAGCTTGCCCTCAACTGCCCTCCCCTGCAAGCCTCATAGTCCCCAAATGCCCACACCCTGCAGTATTCATGGCTTCCAACTGCCCTCCCCTGCCAGCCTCATGCCACCCCACCACCAGCTTTATGGCCCCCAACTGCCCTCCCCTACCAGCCTCATGGACCCCAACTGCCCAACCCTGCTGGACTCATGGTGCCCAATTGCCCTCCCCAGCTGGCCTGATTGCCCCCAATTGTCCCCACTGCTGGCCTGCTGACAACCAACTGTGCCCTCTGCTGGCCTGCTCGCCCTCAACTGCCCCCCGTCAGCCAGCTCACCCTCAACTGGCCCCCTTTGCTGGCTTGCTCACCCCAACTGCCCCCGATGCCAGCCTAATTACCCCCAACTCTCCTCCCCTGCTGGCAGCTTGCCCTCAACTGCCCTCCCCTGCAAGCCTTGTGGCCCCCAAATGCCTTCCTGCCGACCTCATGGCCCCCAACTGCTCCCCCTGCAGGCCTGATCGAAACCACCTGACCCACTGCTGGCTGCTTGCTCTCAACTGCCCCCCTGCTGGCCTGCTTGCCCCCAACTGCCCCCCTGCTGGCATTCTCACCCTCAACTGTCCCCCCATGAGGCAAATATGTTTTCACTAGAGGCCCAGGGCATGAATTCGTGTACCAGTGGGGTCCCTAGGCCTGGCTTGTGGGATCAGACTGAAACCAGCTCTCCAACACCCCCAAGAGGTCCCAGATTGCAAGAAGGTGCAGGCCAGGCCAATGGACCCCACCGGTGCACAATCGGGGCTAGGGAAGGACATGGGAGGGCTTCAGGACATGTCCAGCCCATCTCAGTCCCTGTCAGCCGGACCCCAGCAGCAAGCTAACCTACCAGAGTATCTGCCACACATCATAGAGACAGGTCAACCAGTTGACTGTCTGCCCCCTGATGGCTATTACACATCATAGTGAGTGGTTGAGTGGCTTTAGCATATCATTAGCACATTATGCTTTGATTGGTTGAACAGATGGCCAGATGACTGGACACTTAGCATATTAAGTTTTTATTATATAGGATAAGAGGAAGCTTGTGGACACAGAAATAAGTAAGGCAGAGTCTCTGCCCGCATTGAGCTATTACTCTGTCTCAGAAAGCAGACATTAAACCAGCCACAGTGACTGGTTAAAACTGAGATTAACATACACAGTAAAAGTACAGGGAGCTATGAGAGATATCATAAGGATTTGACCTAGTATAAGAGGGCCAGAGAAAGCAGCTTGTTTGAATCAGTGGCAATTAAACTGAAAGTGGCAGGGTGACTACGAGTTAGCCAGGCAAAGAAGAGTGGGAGGAGTTGACAGATGCCCCTCAAGCTGAGAGCATAGCTCTTTGAAAGACTTTGAGCCAGGAAGGAGATGGGGTTATTGGAGCGATTATAAAAAAGCCATACTTCTAGTGTGATTAGAGCATAGTGAACAGCCATGATCACTCAAAACCATATTGGATTATTTGTTTTTTTGTACTGTGGGATTTCATAAGTTCCTTATAAATTATTAATTTTATTAATACATTTCTTCATTAATGTTGCCTATTAAGCCCTTGTCAGATGTATTGGTGAATTTGTTCTCCCATTCAATGGGTTGTCTTTTCATTTTGTTGTTTCCTTTGCTGTGCAAAAACCTTTTAGTCCTATTTATCATTTTCTTCTCAGAATATATCTAAAGAAACCCAAAACACTATTTTGAAAGAATATATGCACCCCTATGTCCATTACAGTGTTATTTGCAACAGCCAATAAGGTCTGTAATTGAGTTGACAGTATGATACCATTATAAATTTTCTGGCTTTGATAATGTATCTTGGTTATGTTATTTTGAGGGGGGATCTGAGTGATGGGTGCAGGAGAACTCTCCATATTGTTTTTGCAACCTCTTGTATCTTAAATTACTTAGAAATAAATTATACAAAAATGAGTCAAAATTACAAATAGTTCATAAAACTAAAACTTTATGATGCGATTCAACAAAGATACCAGCAATTATTTGGACCTATAAGGATCTACATCAATTATTCAAACGCTGTTTATTGCAAGTAATGAAGCTCTACTTGTTTGACTCTATTGTGTGCAAAATGATTTTGGTCATGCATCATGCCACCTGGTGGGGAGAGCCAGAAAAAATTCCTGGACTATCCTAGCCGAATTTATTTGGGGGTTTCAAATGAGAAATTATTGGCAAAAATTTAGAGTGCTCTAGTTTTTACCTTCTGGTTATAGGAGATGACTATTAACCAAAAGCCTCAGTAGGCAGCTTGGAAAAGGACAGCAATATCTGAAGCCCCTTTGAGGATAGATGAGTGCCCTCCCCAGTTTGAAAGGCATTTAAGCTGGTCCTTCCTCCTACACTCATTCCCTTTAATGTAGGTCTACTCTTGAAAAAGAGCAGATATCCAGAACCAGCTGTTGCCTCACTTATAAGGAGGTAAAATGACTATAACAGAGACCCATACAACTAACACCTGGGGGCAAAGGTTTTATACTATGTTCCCTCTATGGGGAAGCACCAGACTTCTAATGATCTTTTCCTCAGATATGGTCTCCTGATCTTTAACCACACAACAATTATTAGATTATAAGAAAACAGTGACAAGAGGGCCATTGTACCTGAAGATGATAGTAGCAAACTAAAATAGATTACACTATTTTAAAAAAGCAGCTCAGCATAATGATAAGAGCATGAGGCATTGAACCAGACCAATACAGAGTGGAAAATAGCTCAAAGCTTTATTCTTGTACAGATAAGACCCGTATACAGATAGATCGTGTGATTCTTGGTGTCCATCTGCTTGTCTTTTAGAGTCCACAGGAATACTTTGTTATGTAGGTGTTTGGGTTTTTTTGGTTTTTTTCCTTTAAATATTGTCAATGGTTTTTTGTAGCAATTCAGAATATCAAAATGCTGGGATGGGGATGCTTGGTGAAAAAAATAAAGAGATTAAGTACAAATTGACAGTTACAGAGATATAAAATACAGCATGTAAAATATAGTCAATAATCTCTACTAATAAAAGAGAAAGGTCCAAATTGACCATACCTTCTCAACGCCCACCAGCCAATCAGGAATGACTATGCAATTTAACCCACCAAAAATGGCAGGTTAATTTGCATACACAGGTGCCCAGTGGCGGGGGGTGGGATGCTTGCATCATTACCATGGCAATGATGCAGGCATTTCGCAATGTCCAGCCACTCCAGGCCTCTGGGCAGCCAGGGTAAGGAAGGCCCATTCTGCACAAATCTTCATGCATCGGGCATCTAGTATTGTAATAACTATCTATGGTATCAGATGAGTACTAGACTTATGGAGGATCACCTCATAAGTTATATAAATGTATTATATAATATTGAACATCAACTGTAATTGAAACAATTTTAAGAAAGAACAGTTAGTCAGAGCTTATATGTGAGCGTGAGACTAGAATTGAAGCTACCCTTTAGTTCAACTAAAAAAAGAAATACTTCACCTGAAAAATAGAGAAGACATTTTTCTTTGAAGTTGTGTGTCTGGAAAATGCTCTGAGCACATGGCAGTTAAAATGAAAGATTGTCTCAATTATCTGTACTAATAGCAGAAAACATTGTCATACATTATACTATACAGAAACTAATGCAAAAAAAAATTGCAAGTGGTTTACATAATTTTCTGGCTGTAGATTCACCTTCGTAATTATGTTTATCATTAAACTTGAGTTTCTGGAATATTCATTAATTGGAAAGTAGCTTCATCTATAACATGCCAGAAGGAGGAGGAGGAGGAAGATCAGAACAATATTAACAATGTGCCTGTTTTGCGCCAGAAATAAACTAGTTACTTGAAGGAAAACCTACCAATATCATATTCCCAAAATCTCCATCACCTAAATTTCAGTCTTGTTAGTTTTACCATATTTGCTTCACCTATCCTTTATTGCTTAAGTATTTTAAATTAAATTACATTCTTCTACTTTGCTCTTAATAATTTTGTGTTCATTTCTTTAATAAAGGGAAATTTTCCTCAAAAAATTACCAACTACTACATAAAATAAATTAGCAATAAATACCCTAATAACAATCTCTCACACAGTCCATATCCACAATTGTTGGATTTCCCCAAAATAATTTTTATGTGAGGTGTGTGTTTGTTTGTTTTTAAACTAGTGTTTACATGTCATATAGGTCTTTTTAATCTCTCTTAATGGAGAATATCATCCCTCACAGACACAATTTGGTAGCATATTTTCATCATAGAGAAGTTTAAAAATTGCACTCCAGAATATTGAAAAGCTCTCCTATGGCTGCAATCCACCTCTTAAGGATATGCTCCTATGCTTGAATTTTAAATTTGTATTATAGACAGTTCAATCACATAAAAATTAAAGAGAACTATAATACAACTCTATCACTAAGCTTCAATAGCCATTCACTTTCTGCCATTCTTGTTTTATTTGTCTATTGCACACCCTTTACATTGCTATATATTTAGAGCAGTGGTTGGCAAACTCATTAGTCAACAGAGCCAAACATCAACAGTACAACGATTGAAATTTCTTTTGAGAGCCACATTTTTTAAACTTAAACTTTTTCTAACGCCACTTCTTCAAAATAGACTCACCCAGGCCGTGGTATTTTGTAGAAGAGCCACACTCAAGGGGCCAAAGAGCCGCATGTGGCTCGAGAGCCGCAGTTGGCAGACCACAGATTTAAAGGAACATATCAGGCTGCTTCCTTCCATATTAACCTTGGCACATATAGCAATTCTAATGATGATCATGATGTTGATTATTTGATAACTTGTTTATTTTCTATCCTAGAGTTTTATCAGCATGACAAGAAGAATCTTGTTTTCTGCTACTTGACTATCACCTAAAATGGTGCCTGACTGCCACACAGTAAATGTTCAGTAGCTTTTAAAAATAAGTGCAAGAACAATGAAATATCTTGAGCACAGAGAGATCACTTAGAGCAGGGCCTGGCATTAAGTGCCAGCTCTCAGCCAGATAGCTGTAAATAGATCCCATTATTTAAGTACAGTTACTTACTGTGACTACCACTGTGCTAAAGTATGCTTGCAAGCGTTATTCTCTCAAACCCTCAAATTACTTAATAAGTTCCAGTAAAAATATGAGCATATTCATCTCAAGTGGAAGAAAATTTGATGAACAATGAAATGGAATTTTTCACCACTCAGATTCTTTTTTTTTTTTTTTCATCAGAGATGGGCATGGTATGTAGTGTTGATTACACTCTGAGAAAGAGCTTGACACAGAACAATTGGGAAAGTTTTTTAGAATTTAAAATGCTATTCTTCTTCATGATCATCTTAGGATAACAAATCAGGGCAAACCAAGGCATAAATAATTACTAGAATATTATTGGTGATTGTGAAAAATGCATAATAAGGGAATAGCTAAATGTAGGTGTATGCAAACATAGTATGGAAGATCTGTGGAGCAGATATTTTTCAAATCAGGCAGCAATCATGCTTGCTAATTTTAACAATGAGGTAAACTTGGTCTAATATTATAGAATGATCTCTGAGAAAATTTTATAAGAAAAAATCAAGATAGACTAAGAAGACAATAGTTATTGCCCCATATGTGTTAAACATGAAAATTTCTCGATCAGGCACACCTAATTGTTAATTCTGAGGGAAGTACTTAGGTTTTGAGAGCATTAACAAAGTGGAGGGACATTCTTAGACTGTGTTCCTGGATTTTTCTGCTAGAAAATACATAAAGTATTAATTTTCGTTAGTCGAAGACCAACAAGAACACATCTATGGTTAAAATATTGGGTTTGTTGTTCACTGTAGTGAGGGAAAATAAGATGATAGAACCAGAGAACATCTCAGTAAGAGGATGATGATAAAAGGGATTAATGGTTTGGTGTTTGGATGATTTCAGAAAGCACTCAGGGAGGGAAGCAGATTTTGCTCTGGTTTGGATGTCGTCGGGAAGCAGGGAGATTTCTATGATTGGGTGTCTCAGTAAACCTTAAATAGAAGGAAAGAACAGTAGATGAAGCTAAAACTGTAATTAGTAAAGAAGCATTACTCATATTAACCAGTACAGAGGGATGTTTGATCATTTTTGCAATGTGGACAATATTCGTGTTTTTGTCTGTATTCAGGCATGACCACTGAGTGGTCTTATTTTTGTTTTGATCCATTATGCTAACAAGGTGGCCTTGTCTGCTATTGATGTTCTAAGAAATAATTCAATGAGAGAACACTAAGGCCTTGCAATGAGTGCCAAGCAGCTCCTAGCAACAACAAGGCTTAGCTGGTATTATTAGACCCAACTCCTGGATGTCAGGGCTGCTTTGGTCTTTCTCAATACCACTTCCCTTTAGCCAAGGACAGACAACATAAGCCTCAGAATATTTATCCATTATGTCCATATTTTACCACTCTCAAGATTTTGATCAGCAGGAATTTGTTTGGAGAATGGTGTCTATAGTTGGATGAGGATTAATTTTTCCTGCTTCTTTTGTTGCTAGCATGTAGGATCATTTAATGTGGCAATGGCTATAGAGCAGCATATAAGAATCAGGACAGCCCAAGCTGGTTTGGCTCAGTGGATAGAGCATCAGCCTGTGGACTGAAGGGTCCTGTGTTTGATTCCAGTTGTGGGCACATGCCCAGGTTGCAGGCTTGATCCCTGGTAGGGGACATGCAGGAGGCAGCCAATCAATGATTCTCATCATTGTTGTTTCTCTTTCTCTCCCTTCCTCCATCCCTCCCTCCTTTCCTTTCTGCAATATATATATATATATTTAAAAGAATCAGGACAGAATATATCAACCAAATATAGCACAAGCAATTACCAGGAAGAAAAGTGATTATTAGTACTATTGTACTTGAACAAATTCTTAAAGTTATGAATTCAGTTAAGTAGCAGGATACAAAATGAATATTCAGAAATCATTTTTATTTTTATGCATCAATAAGGAACTATCAGAAAGGAAAACTAAAAAACAATCCTATTTACAATTGCATCCAAAAAATACCTCGGAATAAATTTAACAAGGAAGTAAAAGACCTGTGCTCAGAAAATTATAAAGCACTGAAGAAAGAAATGGAAGAAGATACAACTACAGGGAAGTATATACTCTGTTCATGGATAAGAATAATTAGCATCATTACCATCTATAGATTCAGTGCAATTCCTATCAAAATACCAATGGCATATTTCACAGAACTAAAAAAAACTCATCCAAAAATTTACATGGAGCCACACAAAAACCTGAATAGCCTCAGTAATATTGAAAGAAAGAAGACAAAGTTGGAAGTATCACAACATCTGATATCAAACTATACTACAAGAACATAATAATCAAAATAGTATAGTACTGAGTAAAAACATATAGATCAAAGGAACAGAATAAAGCATGCCTACATCATCAATATTTGACAAAGGAGGCAAGAACATACAATGGAGTAAAGACAATCAATTCAATAAATGGTATTGGAAAAATTGGACAGATACATTCAAAAAATTAAACTAGATCACCTTCTTACACCATAAATAAGAATAAACTCAAAATGGATTAAAGACTTAAATTGAAGACTGGAAACCATTAAAAAATCTAAAAGAAAACATAGCAGTAAAATCTCTAACATTTCTCTCTGCAATATTTGTTCTGATATATCTCCTTGGGCAAGGGAAAGAAAAGAAAATATAAACAAATGGGACTAAACCAAACTAAAAAGTTCTTGCACAGCAAAGAAAACCATCAATGAAATGAAAAGGCCATCCACAGAATGGAAGAAGATACTCACCAATGGTACATGTGATCAAGGGTTAATATAAAAAATTTATAAAGAATGCCATTTTTGGCCCTGGTCGGTTTGGCTCAGTGGATAGAGTGTCAGCCTGCAGACTCAAGGGTCCCAAGTTTGATTCCAGTCAAGGGTATGTATCTTGGTTGCAGGC